ATTTTATTTATTTATTTGACAGACAGAGATCGCAAGTAGGTAGAGAGGCAGGCAGAGAGAGAGGAGGAAGCAGGCTGCCTGTGGAGCAGAGAGCCTGATGTGGGGCTTGATCCCAGGACCCTGGGATCATGACCTGAGCCGAAGGCAGAGGCTTTAACCCACTGAGCCACCCAGGAGCCCCCCCCCCCACCTTTTTTTTCTTTTTTTAAAAGCAGGACATGTGGGTTATATTTTTGGTGACTTAGCATATCTGAGAATAACTTCCTGTTGCCATCAAACGTGTCAGAGAGGTCACAGCATTTTCTTTCAAGGATCTGGTTACATTTTGTTACTGTTTTCTGGACTATAGTTGTAGAGATCAGTTGAAGCTGGCCTGATCTTGCTTTTGTACACAACTTTCCCCCAGACCCCTCTCTCTTTTGGCCTGTAGCCTCATGGGTTGTCTTTTAATTCTTACAGTTCAAAAACATTTGCTGCAATTCACTTATATATTGATTTTTTTTTTTAGGGGGGTGGGGGCAAAGGAAGAGGTAAAGAATCTTAAGCAGGTTCCATGGTTAGCCCTGATGTGGGACTCTCCATCTCACAATCCTGAGACCAGAACCTGAGCTGAAATCAAGAGTCAGATGCTTAACAGACTGAGCCACCCAGGCATCCCTGTTCATTGATTTTTATGTGGATCATAGCAAACTATTTTGATCAGCGAACTTAGAAAATCTTTATTCATTTCAAAAGCATGTTCTTCACTTGTATCTTGGATTTTTGCTTGTATTCTGTTTTGACTTTTTTCTTTTGGGAAATAGAATTCTTTCATTGGCTCTTTATCATCTTCCTTCATGTTTTGATTTGCCTTTTTCCTACAAATTCTTAGAACAGTTTTCATGTTTGCCCTCAACATAAATGCTGTTTTCTGATTAATCAGTTCAGTTCTTTATTATTTCCAACACAAATTTTGTTATTACATTTAAAATTTTTGCAATCATTCTTTATCTTACCCATTTTTCTTAGTATCACTGTGTCTCTCCTTATGACTTTCTGTTTTTATTTCTTAGGGAATATGGTTGATTTCCAAATAGCTTATGTTTCTGGTAATGCCTATAGATAATTCTTTTCAGAAGATTGCTTTTTTTGTTGAGCCTCAGGCTGATACCTCCTTTTCCTTGTCAAATCTTTTTTTGTAGACCCTGTGTTTTTTTTTTCCTCTTCTGTGTAAGGATAGATTTGTTCATAATCAGTGTTTGCCAACAAAGGATCTGTATTGCCCTTGGCCCTGCTCTGTTCACTCTTTTGAGTTCCTTTTATATCTTTAGCTCTGAAGTGAGTTCTTTTTGTATATCCTCTCGTGTGTGCCTATTGTTAAAACTCCGCCACCGGGGGCAGCTTTTCTGGGCAGATACTGGATCTTGACTGGCTTCTCTTCATTGCCTTGCTCTGTGACATTCTGGTTAGAGCAAATATAAGAGAGCCTGTGGCTCTCAACATGCATGACTTGCATGTCTCTTTTCTCACTTTATAAAGCTTTACTTAGGGGGATGCCTGGATGGCTCAGTCGGTTAAGCGGCTGCCTTCGGCTCAGGTCATGATCCCAGCGTCCTGGGATCAAGTCCCACATCAGGCTCCTTGCTCTACAGGGAGCCTGCTTCTCCCTCTGCCTCTGCCTGCCACTCTGCCTTCCTGTGCTCTCTCTCTCTCTGACAAATAAATAAATAAAATCTTAAAAAAAAAAAAAAAAAAAACTTTACTTATGAAGATTACGCCTCCTGTTCTACCCTGTGTTTGTGCCAGAACTGCCTTCCTCTCTATTCCTGCGTACAACACACATTTTCTGGGCTTTGCAGTTTTCTTCAGAGTGTAGAAATACAGAGAGACAGTAAGTCCTGGGAAACAACACTGTAGCAGTCACAAGAATGTATACCTGTGCAGTGCGGGAACTCCTGTGGCTTTGTAAGGGACATAATCTCTGTATTTCCAAGTCTGGTGGTAAATGATAGGCAAAGGGTAAAGCATTTTATTTTATTTCTTTTTTAAAGATTTTATTTATTTATTTGAGAGAGAGAGAGAGAGCATGAGCAGGGGGAGGGTCAGAGGGAGGAGCAGACTCCCCCTGAGCAGGGATTCCCACTTGGGACTCAGTCCCTGGACCCCAGGATCGTGACCTGAGCTGAAGGCAGACCCCTGACTGACTGAGCCTCCCAGGTGCCCCCAGCATAAAATATTTCAAATGATTTTTCACATGGGCAGCATGTTTGATTTTTGTTCTTTGTGTACTGTTTTAGTTGTTTTTGTGTCTTTCAATCTAATTCTTTTATTTTCATAATTAGTAGAAGTTCTTACCAGATTCTAGTCATCAGTTATTAGTCTAAATTTTTATTGTGCTCAAGAGAAAACACTTATTAAGTATATATTATGTGACAACACTGGTGTAAATGTATTAACTCATTTAACACTTGTGGAGTAGTATGATTATTACCATTTTATAGAGGCATAAAGAAGTTGAGCACTCTACCCAAGAGGACTTAGCATGTAGCATGGTCAGGATTTGAACCCAGGAAAAGTATATATATTTGCATATTGCAAGTTTATATCCTGTTTTTCTGCATTTTCACAAGCTCATTCTTCCTCTCTCTCTCCTTCCTTCCTTCCTCCTGCTCTCTTTCTCTGACTTCCTAAAAGGCCATATCATGAACTGGCAACCAGGTGCCATTCAAAAATAGGACCTATTATAAGATTTAGAATGCAGAATATAAAAAATTATATGTTTGTGTATGTTTTAGTTCTTTAGGTATTGCATTAAGGTTACTTTATGAAACAAATAATTAAGCTTTCAAAAGAATGATATTATTTGTTTAGATTGCAAGTTTATTAAACAGAATTAATTTGTTCTTTGTATTTCTTAGTTTATTGGCTTTAGGTGAACACTGGGCTCTGGCAATAGTGTCTAACCATTTTGTCTAATCCTCCCTAAGCACCTAACTTAAAGTAAGGAATGACTTAATTATCAAGAAGAATTAGATTCATTAGATTAGTACTGCCCAGTATGGGCACCACTAGAAATATGGCTGTTGAACACTTGAAATGTGGCTGCTCTAGATTGAGATACGCTGTAAGTAGAAAATACACGCTGGGTTTCAAAGGCTTAGTATGAATAAAAGAATATAAAATATCTCATTAATACTTTAAAAATACTTACATATTGAAAAGATAATATTTTTATTTATTGGATTAAATAAAATATATTAGAATCCATTTTTCCTGTTCCTTTTTACTTTTTTAATGTGACTACTAGAAAATTAAAAATTACATATATGGGTTGTGTTATATTTCTGTTCGGTATTCTGAAGTGTCTAAGATATGATACCTCTTCTTTCAGAGTCTGGTAGCAAGAAAGCAGATAAGCAGAGTGGTGTGGTAAGTGCTAGATAGGAGCGCATGCAGAAGAGACCTCTAACTGAGTTTGTGGGGCCTGCAGAAGGTGACCTTTAAAACAGCAGTGGTTTTTCCCTTCCTTTTTACCTTCTTTTGAAGTCTCTAAATCTACTTTTTGGATTGAAGGAAATAAGAGTCAAAAGCTACTTTAAAAAGTGAGCATCTTTTTTCTAGTGGTATTGGTTCTCAGTCTAATGAAATGAGTCAGGGTTGAAGCAGAAGGCCTGAGGGTGCACAGAGACCTCTGTCCCTCCCTTCCCCAGAACTGGCTTAGACAACCAAATTGATGCTGGTGTCCTTTGCTAAGTATGGAACACAGGTCGATTTGAGATCTGTTGAGTTCACGGAGTCTGGGGGACATCTGGTTAGGGAGGAACATTAGCAGTGGGATGAATGGAACTTAGAGTCCAAGAAAAATCTTGGCTGGCAGTATAGATTGAAGTTAGGTGAAGTCACAGATAAGGTATGAGATATCAGCAAGTGAGTAAAGTGAGGTACAGACAAACCTCTGGGGAATGGGGAAGGTTGAGGAAAGGGAATAAAGGTCATTGAAAAAGAATGCTCAGAGAAGGAAGAGTTTGACAGGACAGTATGCTTTCAAGAAGCAGGCAAGTGTAGATAGTGTCAAATGTAGTGAAGAGATAAAAATAAAGACTGAGAAATGTTCATCATCTTTAGTAATGAGCAGGTGATTGGGAAGAAAGTAGGTTCCCTGGAAGGACTGGGTTAGGAGGCAAAGCCGGATTGCAGAATGTTGAAGAATTAATGGCAACTAAAAAAACTGGAGACAATGAAGATTATTGTTTGGTAGTGAAAGAGGAAGAGGTGGGGAGGCTCATGGTAGCTAGGATGACATATTTATATTTAGCATATGACAGCGTGTGTATGTGTGCGCTTTTGTGTGCGTGTCTGTGTGTGTGTGTGTGTGTGGTTGTTTGGGTTGTAAATCTATTATACAGCCATGTTTCTGTATCTATCCATTCTTGGAATCCAGTATAGTGTTGATCATGATTTTAATCTATTTAAGATCTCTTTATAATAATATACTTTATTACCATCATTTCCAAATTCTCTAAACATTAAATCTACGTAAGAGCCTGATTTTATCTGGGTTTAAATGCACTAAGGCCTCTGGGCATGGCTTAATGGAAGGAACATGGGCTTTGCAGTCCACTAAACTATAATTCATATCTAGATTCTGACTTGTTACTGTGTGATCTTGAACAAGTTAATTGTCACATCTGATTTGTTTTTCTTCATTTAGGAAATGAGGATAATAACAGATATCTACCCTTTATGGGGATGTTGTGGAATTCACTGAGAAAAATGTCAAGTGTTTTGTACAGCACCTTACACGAAGTAGGCACTCAGTCAATGCTGGGTAGAAAAACTGCAGCTTCACATGTATACATGCCAACATCACAATCTCTATAACTTAATTTAAAGTAGTATGTGTGATATAATGTTGTAACTTTAAATAAGAGCAAGTATGCTCAATTGAAATTGGGGTGAAAAAGTAGCCTTTGAATAAATCATGTTTCTTTTCTTGTTCCCTCCTCCCCTTTCCAATCCAGGTCCTGAGGGAATCTAACAAATTAGCAGAAATGGAAGAACCACCCTTGCTTCCAGGAGAAAATATTAAAGACATGGGTCTGTAATGGTATTTTTTGTTGAATTTCCTTCTCTTTTCTGAGTGCACAGACTATTCAGTACTCTCAGTGTAGAAAGAACAGGTTCATTGTCCAAGACACCTCCTGTCTGGCAGCATTCATTACTGCCACCCTTCGCAGTATCCGGTGTGTCCCCTACGCCTAGACCCATTACACCTGCTGGTTTTGTAGTTGGACTGTAGGGTAACATGCAGATTGAGTTATATTCTGCTTCTTTTCTGGTTTGCTCTACATTCATTGAAAGTAGGGGCATTTTTTTTTTTTTTAACTCTTGCTGAATTTTCAAGAGTATTTCATTATTTTGAATGACTGCAGTAAGAAATTGGTTTGCCTAGATAAAACATTAGATTGTCGCTTTGTACAAGTGATTTTTCTTAAAACACATTCTTTCTTTCTGTTCCCTTTATTTTATCTGTTCTGAATAAACTCGTGTCAGTTTTTGGATGAATGTATTTCATCTCCATTGCAAAGCAAGCTGTTTGCACATAGGTGCTTTTCTTCTGCAGCCTAAAGAACTAAGCAGTAACTGATTGTATGAACTTTTTTTTTTTTTTTTTGTCCTCATGCTTTTACTTCATTAAATCTGTGTGGTGGTCTAAAAAATACCATAGCTTTTGAGGAATGAAGTAATATGTTAGGAGAACAAATGGCTTCTTAGCCAGAGAAACATCACCTTTCATTTTATTATCAATTTACAACATGGGGTGGAAGAGGAACCAGGGAGGGAAATTGAGGAATGAAGAGAGTGTGATACAGTGTGAGCTAGAGAGAGCCAGACTATATACTTACCTTTGTCCAGGTAGGTCCTTTACTTCTCCCCTTCTCTATTTTGGATTCGGTTCTTCCTGTGCACTGGGCGCCATCTCACCATCTCTGCCCATCTAATGGATACCTGCCATTGGGCACAACTCACACGCTTCTCCGTTCTTTGAACTTTTCTCATCCCACAACAGAATGGACTTCCCTTTCATTGTATTACTTAGCATATATTTTTGTGTCTCTTTCTGTACAGATTGCATGCTCTCATCTATTACATTTGTTTGTATATATTTTATATCCTTACAGACAGGTATTTTCAAGGTCATTTTAGTCTACCTCACCGAAAATATGGCTTCTTCCCCTGTGAACTCAGTGAAAATTTGAGAGGGTTAGTAAATCTAAGCTCTTTTGGTATCACCAGGCAGTATCAGTATTGTAAAATTTAGAGGAATACCTAATATATTAAATATTCTGGTTGAAAATTATCTATCTAGACTTGATTATATGCAAAAATGACATTGAACGTAAAGCGTAAGGCTAGAATAACCTTGAATATGTTAATTCGTCTAGAAGAGTCATTTGAATTTTAGTTGGCCTAATGTAAATCTTCAGTGTAGTTTTTTAAATTAGAGTAGTGTTAGGAACATCAACGGCATGCTTTAAGCAAGTAACAGTCTCAGAGTATTGTGGTCTGGGCATATCAGAAATAGAGATAGCCCCAGACTACAGTATTTCAACCTTTAACACAGGAGTCAGATGGTGCTATGTTAGTGGCTTAGCTTTGCATGACATGATGGAAAGAGATTTGAAATTTGTAGTCAGAGGATCTGCTTTCAAGTCTTAATCTTAGCAGTTCCTGGTTCTGAAATATTAGGCTTTCGTTATATTTCTCTCAGCCCTGGTATTCTCATTTAAAATTTATAGGTGTAATTATAAGTCTTATATACACGTTTGTTATGAAGGTTAAAGGAAGTACTCAGGTGAAAAATACTTTATAAACTCTGCAGTGCAAGGCCATCAGTGCTGGGTGTTCCTACTGTCATTTGCTCTGGTGTGGTTTCCGGTCATAATTCTCTCATCTATTTGGTGTAAATCCTGCTAAGCACAAATTCTTTCTTTAGTGTGATTTAACTACCACCAGACTGAGAAGGAAGGATAAAGGGGGCAGAACAAATGATCAATGATAATAGTAACATAGATATAAACCCTTTTGTATGTATAGTACTTTCATGAATATTATCTCATAATTTTAGGATAAAAGGTAAGATGTAACAAAAATATGGAGCTAAGAGGGACATACCTTGAGGCAGCTTATAGAATAATGAGGTTGATTTTCTTGTGTAAGTAAGAAAACTGGCTCTGGAAAGAATCCAGAAATGTTTTAATAACATTGAATAAAGCCTTTCTACTTGAGGTAAAAATTTATAAGAGCAAGAAAGTATATGCAAGGCAAGTTTGTGTATCTTTCCATAATGATGGGTTTATTTAATTTTAAAAGTGCCCCTCTAAATGAAACATGCATTGGAGACAACAATTTAAAAAATGTAGCTCATACTTGAACATTCCTGAGGGAACTACTTTGAAGGTTAGAAGTGTTTGTTGTAAGATCAGTCTCATTTCAGATTCCATACAAAATGTTCAGTCCTTCAAAGTAGTGAGTAAAAAGCAAAGTCAGGAAGTTGTAATACCTTATTAAATGTATCTTATGTCCCTGCATTTTCGCAGAAGCCCTTTGGAAAGTTCTTTGCAATTTGTTGCTCCTAGTTGTGCCTTACTTTCTGGAGTGATGAAGATATTCCTTTATTTGCTCATTTGCTGCTATAATGACATACCAGGGATTTATGAATATTTTAAGATGTAAAAAAGTTTGTAGTGGGCATTATGAACTCTACCATATTAAATTTTGAGCTAGTGGTAGCTGAGTTATCCTGCTTAATTAATGAATGTTTTAAAATGTTTTAAAAAGCATTATACTGTGTAGATCCATTATTTATCATTTAATAAAACAATGCTTGTGATTGTTTCTTTCCAAAATTTGACATCAGTTGCTTGGTCAGGAATATAATATCCTCTTATTTTACTATTATCTTTCTAAGAGATGATGTTTCATATACATTGCATTTCTCCTACAGTACTTTCCCTATAAGTATAATCAGGTCAGGAGTTTCTCTTATATATTTCCAATATATTTTTAGATGAATGTTGATACATTAGACTGACCAGAAGACAACCAGCAGATTGATGAGGTGACCTGGAAACTATGCTGACTGGTGACTGTGGCTTGAGACATCTGCAGTCATTAACTGAATCACTACCACCCTTCCACCCACTACTCTAGCTTCCCCACGTATTTTATCCAGCAGGGATAGAGACTAGCCTTGTCTCCAGTCAGAGGGTAGGGGTCATCTCTTCCTCTTCAGTCCCTCCCAGATTTCTGCATGGTTGAAAGCCTGGATTTGGCTTCTGGGTTCTGTTGGAACACTGATTCTGTCATTTTGGAACATAGGTTAGAACAGCAGTCAGAATTTTAGTAAATTTCACTTGTGAAAAGATGAGAGTGCAGTTTTTAATAGTGCATGTTGTATAGTAAATTGTGGACTCTTTGCTTTTGCAGCCAAAGATGTAACTTATATATGTCCATTCACTGGTGCTGTCCGAGGAACTCTGACTGTCACGAATTACAGGTTATATTTTAAAAGCATGGAACGGGTAAGACTTGTTGGATTAGATTTTTATATGTACATCTGTATGTTCTTTGCAGTTTTGTTCATTTTTGATCATTTTAAATTAAGGCATTTCTAATTAAAATAATTGTACAGTATCGATTGCTTAGTTTTAATCTTTTTTTTTTTTTTTCTTTCCTTCCTTTAGGATCCCCCATTTGTTTTAGATGCCTCTCTTGGTGTGATAAGTAGAGTAGAAAAAATTGGTGGTGCTTCTAGTCGAGGTGAAAATTCTTATGGACTAGAAACTGTGTGTAAGGTAAATGTTATACTTACACAATTTTATTTGGTTTGAAAAGCTTTTTTTTTTTTTTAATTTTGTTTATTTATTTGACAGAGATCATAAGTAGGCAGAGAGGCAGGCAGAGAGAGAGGAGGAAGCAGGCTCCCCGCTGAGCAGAGAGCCTGCTGTGGGGCTGGATCCCAGGACACTGGGATCATAACCTGAGCTGAAGGAAGAGGCTTTAACCCACTGAGCCACCCAGGCACCCCTTTGAAAAGCTTTCTATTAAATAGAGCCTATGTGCAGAAACTGGTTTCCAAACTGTCAAGTACATTCATGCTGTAACATTCTAGAAGACAACAACAACATTTAACAGTAATAAAAGATGATCTATCATGAATTAGGCTTGAATTCTTTCGGACCCAGTACAAGGTACTTTGACATTGATTATTTCATGTGTATATATTTATATATGTGTGTATATATACACACCTCATCTTCTTTTCCATTCATCTACTGATGGACACTGCTTCCATAGTTTGGCTATTGCAAATAATGCTGCAGTAAACATAGGAATGCATGTATCCACTCAAATTAGTGTTTTTTGTATTTTTTTTTGTAAATATCCAGTAATATTACTGGATTGTAGGGTAGTTCTATTATTAATTATTAATTTTTTGAGGAACCTCCATACTCTTTTTCACAGTGGTTGTACCATTTTGCATTCCCACGAAGAGTGCAGGAGGGTTTCTTTTTCTCCACATCCTCACCAACACTTGTTTCTTGAGTTTTTGATTTTAGCCATTCTGACAGGTGTGAGGAGTTACCCCATTGTGGTTTTGATTTGGAGATGTCTAACTTGTATTAAATGCATTGACACTTGAATGAAACTTAAGATTTTTACACTTTCATCATTCTGTTCAGTCATAGACATTTCATCTCTGGTGCCATTTCAGTAGGTAGCTGTTCTCATTATGGCCTCATTAATACCTGTGCACATTTCAGTTCTAGATCACCTTTTTTTTTCCCCTGCTTTTCTGCCAGTGCCAAAAGTAAAAGCAACAGCATATGCATAAATTTCAAGTTTCTTTCTTTCTTTCTTTCTTTTTTTTTTTAAAAGATTTTATTTATTTATTTGGCAGAGAGATCACAAGTAGGCAGAGAGGCAGACAGAGAAAGAGGGGGGAGCAGGCTCCCTGCTGTGCAGAGAGTCCGATGTAGGGCTCGATCCCAGGACCCTGAGATCATGACCTGAGCTGAAGGCAGAGGCCTAACCCACTTAGCCCCTCAAGTTACTTTCTTATGCTAATCTTAGTAGTTCTGTAAATCTAGGAATAAAGGTAATGACTACTAATTATTTTTATACATTTTCCTTCATAGAAGGGCTCTAAGAGTATAATAGCTGTGAAAAATGTGTCAAGCACATTGTCTCCTAATCACTTTATTGTAACCTAATAGTAAATGGAGCGTAGAATATGAGAGGACATGAAAGAGGGAGACTTTGAAATCTTGATCATTTTAAATACAGTTTTTTCCATGGAGCAAGACCATTATCAACAAACGCAAACATTTGTAGGGCCCTGACTGTGGCACTTTTAGATAACCCTCCAATTAACAAGAGTGATTATGAACATCTCTACTAGTTGTAAATATATTTACTGAGGAAGAAACAAGGTATCAGCTTAGGTTTCCGCATATGTTTGTTTTAAAGTAAGGTAAAGCTAGCATCCTAGTTTTGGATCAGATTTGTGATAAAATGTCCTACTTGTTTGTGTACTGCAAATGCATTAGAGTGCAATGTTCCTGTATTCAGTTTTATAGAATAAATATAATAAAGCTATTTTGAATTCTGCTTAGATTAAAACACTTAGATAAAATGGGTAGTCTTGATATTATTCTTTTTTTTTTTTAAAGATTTTTATTTATTTGGCAGAGATCACAAGTAGGCAGAGAGGCAGGCGGGGAGAGAGGGGGAGGCAGACTCCCTGCTGAGCAGAGAGCCTGATGTGGGGCTCGATCCCAGGACTCTGGGGTCATGACCTGAGCCGAAGGCAGAGGCTTTAACCCACTGAGCCACCCAGGCGCCCCTCTTGAAATTATTCTTAATCCTCAAGTTTTTCTTAGTGTAGTTAAGATGTCAGTAAACCAGAACATGAATATCTATATTGAGACTGAGCATAGGAAATTGCTTGAGGACAAATAACAAAAGGGAGCCCAGGACTTTAGATCTGACTGTAGAGGCAGGATGACATCAACCAAACATTTGGGAGTTTATCTGTTAGGAGGTGTTTGAAGAGCTTGGACCTAGAGAGGAGGAAGAGATTTAAGTAGAGTTTGATTCTATCAGTCCAGTAGCAGAAAACTTAGGAAGATCCAGTGAAAATGAGTCCTGGGAAGGGATCATAAATAGGAAAGTTATCACTAGGCATAATGGGAACAAGGGCACTTATGAAATATAACAAGAGCTAATCAGGTTTTTAGTAGGGAAATCCATGACAAAAAATGGGCTTTCACAGGGAAAGGATATATACACTGAGCTGTGTATCTATCAGTCATGATAGTGAGCTTCAGATACAGTATCTCCTATCAGGTGGTATCTCCTTTACTGGCCTATTGTGAGTAAATAAGCAGAAATAAAATTTCTGTCCTCTGAATTTTGCCTTGTATTAGAGTGCCTTTTGTGTGTGGGTTTGTTTTTTTTTTTTCCCTTTCAATTAGGCATTGTGATTTCCCTTCCTCCAGGAGTTGTTGTCTTATTTTTGTATCCCACGTTCACAGATCTTAATATTCTACAAGGTAGTTCCGAGTTATCCTTATGTGTTCATTAAATAAAAGGTGTGCAGGGATCGATGACTTGGATCCTAAATCTTTTCTAGGATATTCGGAATTTACGGTTTGCTCATAAACCTGAGGGGCGAACAAGAAGATCCATTTTTGAGAATCTAATGAAATATGCATTTCCTGTCTCTAATAACCTGGTAAGATGTTTTTTGTCTTTGAAAAATGTGTACTGTAATTTTTGGTGTAGTGTAAAGAAACTTGTCTAGGTTACCTAGAATCTACATTTGTGATCCTACTTTGTCATTAAACCAGATGCATAATTTAGGTTTAATCTAACCTCTTGGAGCAGTTTCTTTTAGGTTTGAAATGAGGAGGCTGGACTAGCAGATTTCTGAGGTCCATTCCTGCTTGCTGACGTTCTATAATTATATGATCTTTCTATAGAGGGCATTCCCACGATGAAAAGCTGTCTGTGGTCTTCATTAGGATTTGAAATCTCCTTTTTATTATTTTTTTTAAAGATTTTATTTATTTATTTGAAATCTTTTAAATTAGGAGCTGAGAGTTTAGCAATTTTAGGAGGAAAGAGTGAGCAAATCTTAGCGGAGTTCCTGCTACTGCTAGCAGTGGTGCCCCCTCATTAACGTTATATAATCTAACTTCCACATTAGCCCTGTGGTGGTAAATATTATTTATCCCTATATTAGAGTTGAAATCAGGGGCAGGTGAGCAATTAACTCAAGGGTACAGCTAGTAGGGAGTAACATTTGTAATCAGAACTTGTTTTCTGACTCTTGTTTGAATGTTTTTCACCATAGTTGTTTCTGTCCTTCTGTCTACAAAGATGATAAATTAGATTTTCTTTTTTGGTACACTGATCACATGCCAAAAAACAATATGTTTATTCAGTATGTTTTAGAAAATGTAGCATTAACTTCAGCTGCTTAACTGCTGACGTCTGTGATGTCAAACTACTTAATTTTATCAGAAGATGTCTTTTGTAACCTAAACAACTTGTATCTGAAGGAAATATGGTGATATGTTAGCATTTGATACATCTTGGTGGTGGGCCTCTGTGCTTTTCTATGTGTTGGAAAAATATGAAAAAAAAAAACAATACATTTTCAAAATTAAAAAGCAAGAGCCAAAACAACAATATGAAAAAGAAGGACACCACTACAAAATATCCTTGCAGACGAGTAAATGAAAACTTTGGGTATGATAAGGATTCATTTCTGATTCATGACCCTCTGAAATGTCTTTTTGTAGCTATTAACTCTGTTTACTGTTTTGTAGCCTCTTTTTGCTTTTGAGTATAAAGAAGTATTCCCTGAAAATGGGTGGAAGCTATATGACTCTCTTTTAGAGTATAGAAGACAGGTATGTACTTTTATTCTTTCAATTTAATATTTTGCATTATTTTCATTACAACAAAAAACTTAAGGGTAGAGGTATATAGCTTTATATAGTTGTGTGGGTTGTGTTTTTTTAATGAAGGCTAATCCTGATTCTTTGTCTTCCTTTCAGTTTCTCTAAACTGTTTGAGACTGTTTTAGTGATCTTTTATTAATTTACTTATCTAAGAAATAATAAGTAAATCAGCTTCTAAAAAATGTTTAATAATGATAAAAATTAAATGGTAAATATATTTACATTTTAATATTCTTATGTACCATTCAACATTATTCACTCACCTTTTTCTCTTTTGGAGATCCTATAATATAATTCTGAAAAAATTTCATAGTAGTTCAGCTTATAACATAGCCCCCCATGAAATTTTGAAAGTTTTAGATCTTCATAGAGGACACACTTATACATAAAATGTTATCAAATCAAATTTGATAGTATACCAAAGAGATTATATATCATGACTAAGGTGGGTTGGTTTACTATGAGAAACCTATCAGCATGATATACCATAGTAAGAGATGAAAGCAGAATTCAGTCTGGAAATCTGTGTGACAGTCTGTCATCCTCCCTGTTCTCTCTCAGGACACCACTTCCCAGAGCCCTTTACTGAATATTTAAAGTCTGCCTAAAATAGTCTTGAACGTTCTGCATGTTCACTCTGCTTTCTTGAGAATTTAAGTTAGGACACATTGGTTGTTTCTTTAGTAATCATTAGATTTGAGATCCAGATTACTCTAGAATTCAGATATGAAAATAAGCTGTGATTTTTGTATCTAGATTTCAGACATTGTGTTTGAATTATAGAGCTTCTAATTTATTTAAGTTTGTTTCACAAAGCAAGGAAGAGTAAAAATCCACCACCAGAGAACTAAAGATACCCAAATGGTTTGAAGTATCATTTGTTGCTCAATAGCATGTAGTCAGTAAAATAAAATTTCTTAGTTATAAAGCCATCAGATTGGCAAAGTATGAAGCAGAATATGCAATAAGTGAATCAACTAGAAATCATGAGTCTACAAGTTAACATTGCAAGATTTTTGCTAATTCAAAAAGCCAGTGTCAGAATTAGGTGGGAAAGCAATCAGAAGATCTAACCATGTCCTGAGAATTGTTAAGATGAGAAATATTCTCTAGGAATCTAGGCAAAAATTGCCATCAACATAGAACTTTGGAAAGAAGGTGGATAACTGTGTCCACAGAAAAGAAATAAGTTATTATGGAAAAGAGAATAAGTTAAAGAGTAAATAAACAACTATACCCCTGGGGCGCCTGGGTGGCTCAGATGGCTAAGTGTCTGCCTTCGGCTCAGGTCATGATCTTAGGGTTCTGGGTTTGAGCCCCGCTTCTGCCTCTCTCTCTGTCTACTTGTGATCTCTCTCTGTCAAATAAATAAATAAAATCTTAAAACAACAACAACAACAACAAAAAACAAAAAACCCCCAACTATACCCCTATAGAAGGAGAATTAAGAGATTAGGAAATGTGGCTGTCAGAATAGAGCATTGAATTCTACATGAAGTAATGCAGATGCTTTATGATCTTTGATTTACTAGATGAATTTTTGACTTTTTTTCCAGCAAAGCTAGACACTTTGTCTCTGATGCAACTAAATCGAAGTATAGTGTAGAGAACGGTGTATTTCTTGTGGTTGGAAGACTCAGGTTCAGGGGTGGATTTTGATGTATATTAAGTTTATTACAGAAGAAAATGAAGGTAATCTTTTAATATAAACCTTAAGACTAAAGATAATGCATCATATTATTCCTTTTTTTTCTTTTCAATTAAAATTAAAAGTGGTAACACTTGTACTCTGCATAAAATTTAGAAGTTGAATTTGAGTTGAAAAGTAGGTTTCCCTTCCAGGACAGCCTTGTCCCCCAGCCACTCCAGTTCCTCTCTCTTAAGGAAATAATGTTGTTAGTTACCTATGTATGCTTTCAGAGATTTTATGCCTTCTTTTTCACTTAATGTGTTTTGGAGGATACATACCATCTCAGGACATACAGACCTGCCTATTCTTTTCTTCTTTTAGGTCGAGGTGTAATTCACATACCATAAAATGTATCACTTTAATGTATAGTCCACTGGCTTTTAACATATGCACAAAGTTGTGCAACTCTTACCACAAATTCCAGAGCATTGAGAAGACCGAGTTTGAATCATATCTTTAGCTCTTACTTAGTTCTAAATCTTAGGTATGTGTTCTTGAATGAGTCATTATGTCACAGTGCTTTTATTTTTTTACATGGTCCTAGGAACTGCTTTATAGGAATGTTTGAAGGATTAGTAATATATGGGAAGGTATTTTATTAACCAAAGAAATCTATCCAAGTGATTATTACTGTTTTTATTACTTTGTAGAGCTCTAAAAACAGAAATCATGACTGGTGGTGAGATTCATTGTGTGTAGCCACTAAAACACGAAAGGAAAGTCACATTAATTCTGCAGACCTGTACATTATAGTGCTGATCATATGTTATTTTTAATGGACAAAATTATTAATAACTATTTAAATTTGTTATGTAAGAGGATATTTCTTTAATTTATTCTTGATGCATGCATACAGTGATTATACAGAAGACTCTTGAAATTTGTGGATAAGATCAAGAAAAATCATGTGAATAACTAAGGAAAGCTATCATCCAGTTAATTGGGTTTTAACTCGACTCTGACAATCGGATACATTAACTGAAGGACAGTGATTTGCAGGGAGATTATAAAAATGTATGCCAAGGATTAGTAGCTGTCAGAATGTCTTTAGTACTGTCTACGAAGAGTGTGTGCCGACTGGTCAACTCCACTTGTCGGTTTGGAAGGCAGTTAGTGGAGGTCAGTATACCACCTTATCTAAGGATAGGAACACAACAGCCATTAGTGTAACATAAGTCAGTGGTTCTACCCCCACCCTGCCAGTTTCCTGGAGAATGTGACACAGTCCCATGGGTAATAGTGTTTCTCCCTGAGAGTGATTTTTCAAGGATATGAGAAGGGATTGAGAGATGAGAGTACTCCCTGGGTTGGGGATGGTTCATCAGGATCTCAGGTGAGGTATGCCTCTCTGGTGATGTGGCAGTCTTAGCTCTGACTCCAGGTTTCCTAAGAAAACTTGAGAAACTGCTGTCGCTTTCTGTGAAGGCTTCCTTGCGGGTCATTGATTTAGTCATTAATCATTCCTTCCTTCACTCATCCATCCATCCATCCATCCATCCATCCATCCATCCAATTTATCTGGCACTACATATACTAGTGGCTAAGTCTATGAAACTAGAAGACACAGTCCTGACTTCCAAAGAGCATATACTTAGTGGTGGATTCAAAGAGGTAAGCTGATAATTAAAATACACAGTGATGAATACAGTGACTGGTAAAGCAAGGTACTCCAGTGAGAGAATATGAAGCCCTTTGGGAACTGAAAATATTGGTATAGGCTTGACTACAGACTAGAGTGGCAAGCGATCAGACTGGGGAAAGCTGAAGTGTGAAGGGCTGGGTTTTGCTAAGTCCCATAAAGGAGTTTCTTTCCCAGTTTTATTGAGAAATAATTGGCATACATCACTGTGTAAGTTTAAGGTACATGACATGATGGTTTGAGTTGCATGTATTGTGAAATGATTGCCAGAATAGGTTCAGCTAACATCCATCTTTTCATATAGACAGAATAAAAACAAGAAAAGGAAACAATTTTCTCCTTTTGAGGAGAACGCATAGGATTTGTCTCAGCAGCTTTCCTGTATATCATACAGCAGTGTGAGTTGTAGTCATCATGTTGTCCATGACGTCCCAAGCGGTTACTTCTCTTATAATGGAAGTTTGTACCTTTTTGCCACCTGACCACTTTCCTCCAGTTTTCTCTCCCCCAACCACAAGTCTGTTCTTTTTCTGTCATTTTCTGAGTTTTTTTTTTTTTTTTTAACATTCTGCATATAAGTGAGATCATATAGTATTTGTCTTTTTCTGTCTGACTTACTTCACTAAGCATACTACCCTCCAGGTCCTCCTGTGTTGTTGCAAATGGTTAAGATTTGCTTGATTTTCATGGCTGAATAATATCACATTATCCATTCCTCCACCAGTGGACACTTATGTCCATGTCTTGGCTGTTGTAAACAATGCTGTCCTGGTTATGGGCAGTGCAGTTATCTTTTCCAGTTACTGTTTTCATTTCCTTTGAATATATCTGCAGAAATGGAGTTGTTATAATACTGTAGTTCTGGGTTTGATTTTCCGAGCATCCTCACACCGTTTTCCATAGCAGCTGAACCAGTTTACAACTGCATCCACAGGGTTTTCTTTCTCCACATCCACACCAGCTTCTGTCATCTCTCTATTTTTTAAATTTATTTTTATTTCTTATTTTATGATGGCCATTCTGACAGGTCTGAGATGAGATCTCATTGTGGTTTTAATTTGCATTTACTTAATGACTATATTGAGAATCTTTTCATGTGTCTATTGGCCTTTCATATTTCTTTTTTGAAGAAATGTTCATTCAGGTCCTTTGACCATTAATTTTTTTTTTTTTTTTTTGAGTATAGCTGCCATACTGTGTTATATCAGTTTCAGGTGTACAACATCATGATTTGGTTTTTGCTGCTGTGTTGCATGAGTTCTTTATATATTTTGGATATTAACCCCTTATTAGATATACAGTTTAAAAGTATTTGAATTTCTGTATTAACAGTTGTAATGTCTCCTTTTTCATTTATAATTTTGTTGATTTAGACTCTTTCTCTTTTTTCCTTGGTTACTCTAAGAGTTTGCCAACTTTATTTATCTTTTCAGGGAACTAACTCTTAGTTTGGTTAATTCCCCTCCCCCCCTTCTTTTCTGTTTTATTTATTTCCACTCTAGGCTTCATTGTTTCCTTTCTTCTGGTAACTTTGGACTCAGTTTGTTCTTTTTTTAGTTAAGATATGCACTTATGTTGTTAATTTGGTATTTTTCTTGCCTTTAAAAAAAAAAAGATTTT